CTTGACCTCGCTGCACCCCAACCTTGAGGTTTCCACCTCACCAGGCCCAAAGCTCTGTGGGGCACAGATGCAGGCCACAGAGCCATGAGTGCAGGCAGCCTCTCCTTCTCCAGCTGAGTTCCTCAGGGATTTGGTCATAGGGAGGAAAAGCAACCACAGGGTTTCACCTCGTGTCTGCAAACAAACTTGCTCAGCAACTACCTGAATAAAGCAAGTGTTTAAACATTGGTTGAGAAGGTCAGGCCTTGTTTGCTATTTGCATCACATATTTTTAAAAATGTAAAGCAAGCAAAAGCAAGCAAAAGCACGCATGATCTTCTTGCTAGAGTCCTGTACCTACACCTTCCTGTTACTCTACACAATGTAGGGGTTCACAGGACAGACAGACCCAGGTGAGGGAGTGACCCAGTGCAGATATGCATCATCGCTGTGGGAGCACTTCTAGCAGCGGCCTGGAAAAGGCTCCTGCTGTCTGGCTGGGCAGGGCCAGGCGGGTGCACTCCCCGGGCTCCTTCTGGGTGTGGGACCATGACACTGAACATTTAGGGACCACATCCAAGCACCCCATGGAAACAGAAGCCCCAGTTCAAATATGCAGGCCCTTCCCCATGCTCCCATGTCTGGACAGCATGAGCTCACTTATTGGTCTTTACACCTGTCTTGTAAAGCACCAGACAGATCAACTTCAGCAACAAGGTGGCACAAGGTGAGGCTGGTCAGCAGCTCTCCCAGGCCCGGGTCATAACCAGGCTGTCCATGCTACAGGTTCCTGGGCCCAGGAAGCCTCTGGGTGCCCCTTGAAGGCACATCAGCATGCCCGGTTCAAAGCTTTTCCTCCTCCCACTTCTGAGTTTACGTCTAATATTAGGCTGAGCAGTGCTGAAGCAACACTGGACACATTCTGTGTAAGGATCGAACAGGGACACATGGTGTTCGCAGGTACGCGTGGGGTACAGTGGGATGGGTGAGGAAAGGTGAGGCCCTCGAAGTACTGGGTGCCACTCTATCTCATCACAAGCTCACCCCACAGGTGTTTTCCCACAGGAAGTCAGTGCCTGACATTCCTACCTCAGAGGATGCTGAGGGGACGGACACAGCTGCACCCTAAAGGCTGCTGTACCGCACAAGAGTGCTCTGCCCTCGGGACTGGGGGTGGGGGAGCAGATCCCGGGACCCCTCAGGATAGCAGACTCTAAAGATGCTCGAGTCCCCCGAACAAGTGGCGTGGAGTCCCCCCAGAGCCTGTGCCACGCCCGCAGCCGCTCTGCAGCCCTGCGACACTGGCTGCACTGCCCGCGCCATGCCAAGTGCAGGTGGCACTTGCAGCAGTGACCGCTGTCTTGTCTGGGGAATGACAAGAGGAAAGTCCATACATGTTCCATCACCGGCACAGCTTTTTCCAAATATTTCCAACCACAGCTGAGTGAGTGGATGGGGAATTCCCAGATACAGAAGCTGACAGTCTTCAATCAGGCAGATTATTTAATCAGCAAGTCTCCCATCTACTAATTGAACACATAGCAGAATATTTTTCACCACACTAGGACTCAAGGTGCAGGCTGAGGGCTGCTCTTTGGAAAATGAGAATTATGGACCTCCGCACACCTTTTATACATGTTATATGCTTTATATTAATAAGCCTTAAACTAAAACATGCTGCACTTGTCTTGTTGCCATTTATTCATAAATTACTATATTTAAAAATTACCTTGAGGGTTAGAGATTACAACAGATTTAACAAATAAAACCTTTGACTTACGGTTTGGATTCTTTAACCTTCTGTCCCCAGAGACTAGAAAACACTATGGTCAGAGCAACTTAATGCAGTATAATCTGCTTCCCAGGGAGAGACCAAGTCACCCACCGATCTGGTCAACTCCCGGTTAGGTGAGCCCGTGCGCTCAGCTTCTTTCATGGGGTGGGGAATCTACCCCACAGGAAAGTGAGCAGGATCTGGGCCTTTCCCAGGCCGAGGTCCCCTTCTGGCTGGGCCCTCTAAGGAGTGGGTTAGATGATCCAGGCAGAACTTAAAACGCTGTATTTCCACCTATGACCCATTTATAAGAAATTATGCTGAGCTGGACACTGGACATGTCCTTTAGCTTCCCATGAGCCACATGTAAACTAGAGGCAGAAGCCACACAGGAGCCCAGGGCGGGGCTCTCATTCCACTCCAGCTACCTTGCAGCTACGAGTCCCCCTGACTGCTGCCGTGGGAACAATGGTGCAGGGGTTAATCACGTGTGTGCATCTTTCAAGCACAACCCCCTTATCCCAGGGAGATTCCCAATGGGACACAGCATTCCCAACTTTAAGGTATAATTAGCATAGCAAGATGCCTCTGCTAACTATAAGAACAGATCTGTCCTACCTTACCGTTGCCTGTGCAACGGGATCACCCGAAGTGAACAAATCCTGAAGCAAAAGCATTACGGGTACCTGTGTGTGGATGACGACAGAAATGCAGGTTTCCAACCCTGACACTACACTTGTATCTCAGAAGCCATCCTTGGCCTTCCAAGGAAGTGGCTCCTTAAAATCGCTTCTGAATAATGGAAGCTATTGGATTATCTAAGAGATTTACCCTTTACTGAATTTAATTTAAAGCTAAGTCATTTTAGAAACCACAATTACCCACATGGAAAAACCTCTACTTGAAAAATTTGTATAATTTGAACACAGAAAAACCAATTGTTTGAAATTTAATAAACCATTTTCCTCTCAGGCTCAAAAACCAGGAGCAGAATAGAAGTTAATGTGTGAATTATAAACTTCTGAAAACAGAGGCTTATAATCACAATTTCAGGGTTTTTCTTTACAGTGTATTCTCCAATGCCTCAGCCAATAGATTTCTAAATATCCCGAGAGACTACTTCTAGGCCTGCTTTCTTCACCAGCCCAATAACTCAGAGCAGGTGGATAATTTCCTTTGCTCTTAGCTTCAATTTTTCCTTAGAAATTTCACCTAAGCTGACACCCTTCGTATCATCCATAATTTCACTCTGAGGCTGACTGCCTAGATATTCCGAGTTTCCTGGTCCACGTTCAGAGCTCTGGACCAAGCTCTGCTTTGCCAGCAGGCCCGGGTGACAGGATTCTGGGTCCCAAGATTTCCTGTGCCCTTCTTTGTGCACGATGTGCCTGCCCAGTCAGCTCAGCCTTGATTAGAAGACCAGAGATGATAGCTCTGTCCTAGCTGGGGTCTGGCCAGGCACAGGGACGTGTTCCCCATTCCTGGGCTGACTGGTCACAGCCTAGCAGCATGGGCTCTGCAGACCCAGTGCCATGCTCATAGCCCAATGCAGGCTTTTCACTGGTCCCGTGGGTACAGTGATACCTCCCAGAGCCGCACCAGTGTGCTCTGGTATGCAAGCAGACGCAGGGGATGGTGCAGAATCCTTACAAATCAGCTGCTATTATTATGCTTGGAATTGCTACCCTCTCCTGGACCTTTGGGGGAACTAATTCTGTGGTACTCTATAACATACAGTTATCAATCCTGAGGAGCCCCAGTGCCCAGTCGCCCTGGGGAGGACCCGATCTGAACTTTCCTTTGACAGGCCTGGGAGTGAGCTCTGCTGAGGCTGGTCCTCTCTCTGGGAAGCTTGATGCAGAGACACGGGGCTACCTCCTCTCCTGACCTCTTTCCTCTCTTAGTCCTGTGCAACTCTGGAAACTCAGCTCTCACACTAGCTGTGTAGACAGGGTGTGACTTGAATTTGGGCGTCTTTCCTACAGCTGACCACAGGGGGCAGCAGAGGCCAGCAGGGTACAGAACCTTTCCCTCCAGACAGAATTCTCAAGAGTGGCCTGTGGGTCTCTTGTCACCTGAAGGCACCAAGCCAAACCGCAGGCACTTGGTACTGTGGTGAAGACAGCAGCGGGCTATGCTGAGTCCAGCCCTCACCAAGGACGGTGTCCTCCACTCCTGGGAAGCCAGAGGACTTTGGCTTCTACCTCAAGTCCTTGTAATGCATTTCACATCCAGCCTAAATGGGTTCCAAGCGCCTGTCTGGAACTGCACCTGCTTCCTTTCAATTCACAGGATGCTGAGAACTCCACATGAGGGTGCATTTCCATTGGGTAAGAGACAGATGCAACCCAGCTTTCTCCCAGGCCTCTGTCTTTGCACTGTGCACCTAAAGATGCTTACAAACAAATCTCTCAAAGGTTAAAAAAAAAAAAAAAAAAAAAAAAAGAGGACTTTGAGAAAAGTGGTGGGAGGCTTACGAACCCGAAAGGTGATGGCCCACCGGCAGCAGTTGGATGTCTTCCATGGCCCCCTTCTACCCTTGACCACCACAACAATTGGTGCTGAGAATGCTGGGGATCTCTGTGCCAACGCACACCTGCACTCCCTGATCCAGAATTAGCACCCGATTCTATGCAGTTACTTCTTTTATACCTGTATCAGAGTTTCACGCCATAGTTTTTTTTCAAAAGAATGAGCTTTCAGCTTTCAATACCTAAAAAAACAAAACCTAACATACACCTATCATGAGGGCACTACTTATTTCTCTTAGACATGTAAGCAAGTTGAACAAAACATTTAATTTAAGCAACTAAATTTTAAGATCATATTACAGAATATTCACAAGGAGGAAAAACATGGCTAAAAACAACACAATTCCATACACATAAAGAGAAAATGCACTTTTAAAACAAGGCTGATCTAATTTTGAGATTCTTATGTACAAGGCAATGCATTTGCAAAAATGAAGAGTTTTCCATTAGGAAAAAATATCTACAAGTTTGGGGAGATTTATTTACCTAAGCAGGATCTGCAGAAGCCTAGGAGTGAGACTGTCATTTTAAGGACTATTTAAGCAAGTGAGAAATGCTGGGATAAATTCTAGGCTTAGAGGATAAGTTTTCAGTTAATGTAGTAATAAATCCCAGACTCACACACTTAAATCATCTCTGAATGAAGAGAAACTCAGAAAAAACAAAACGCCCCGGAAAGAGCACACCGGGGCATTCTCCGCGGCCCCTGCACTTACCTGCTCTTGCTGGCTGAGCTGACCACAACTCATAGACTCAACTCCTTTTGCCAGTCACCTCCCCCTTTCCCCCCTGGGAAGCCGCGCCTTCCCTGCCTGCACACTGGGTTCACAGTTGTTCAAACACAAAATGTCTCCACCTCCAGTCTTCAGTCTGAGTATCTTCCCTTTTGAGTATCCTTACTTCCTGGGTTCCATCCACCATGTAATAAATTCATCAAATGCTGGTCTTTGCTCTGAAGGCTCACAACAGCCCTGTGCAGCTTACATTCTGGAGCTAAGAACTGAAGCTCATATCAAAATCTCTACACGAGACTGGATTTGAAACTCCAGGAGCTTCAAGATACTGCCTCAAGCAAAAAAAGCCTGGCGCTACAGTGTCCATCGCTGAGAGCTAAGAACTGGGCACTGAGTCCCTGCCTGCTTGGCTCCTCTTCCTGACTGCCTGTAAAATTCAAAGCAATGCATCCACTAGGCTTTTCTCCATCCAGTCACAGCACCCAAGCACTGCTGCTCGCCGGTTCTCCGGGCACTAGTACAAAATGCAAGGCTCTAGCATATGAACGTACAGTCTGTCAGTCCCAGAAAAATGACGGTGGAAGAAGAGAGGGCAAAGGCAGATTCAAGGCCGCACATGGTTTTCCCTAGTTGGCAACGGAGATGTGCACAGTGCTTTCCTTCATTGGAATTCTTCCTTAGTCATACTTTTAAGTTGCAAAACGGTAAAGAAGATGTTGAGCGGATTTAAAAGGAAATACCCATCAAATCACTTTCGAGGCTTTACAAACGTGCAGAAAATACCCTGTGCCCAGAATTTGGGGCGAGCCCGCCCAGGATCCCTTCGCCCAGGGCAGCCATGGTCCTAAAGGACCCTAATCCTTTCTACTTGGCCCAGGACAAAAAGATATCCTCTGATGCAGTTCACCGCTCGCCAGATATCCAGCACCAGTAAAACCAAGTTTGCAAAACCTGCGAAGCAGTACCACCCCCCATGAGCAAAGTGCTTCTCAGATTATGAAACAGTTTTAAAGTTCTGCCTGGCAAGAGGAACACAGGAGTGACCTGAAGCCACCGCAAAAAGTCTCATTTAAATTCCTGGAAAGCATGGCTCCTCCAAACGCAGCTATTCAGCTCTCGCTGGAGTCCAGTGGAACTTCACTTAGGCAGGCTGAGGCACCGGCACCTGGCACCTTCCATCCAGTGGAGATGGATGCGATGGTCCCCACTCAAAAGAAAGCACCCAACGCCACCCTGCGCACGGCTGGAAGTCAGCTAACCCGCGCGGAGTTCTCGCCTGCCACGAGCATCCACATGCGCTTCAGGCTCCCTAAGGTCTCTCCCAACCCACAGCACTGTGGCTACAGAGAGCAGGACGCCAACAGAACACACTCCGTGCGGGGCGCGTGTAGTTCCCAGGGCTGTGGGCCAAGAGGACCCTATAGTTCTCCGCTTCCTTCCACAGCCTGAACGCAACGCAGTAACTTAGCACCGGCTCCTGAGCTCGGCCAGGGTCCCTGCCCAGGCCGCGTGCGTGGTGTCGGTCTGGCCCCTCTTCTCCGCGTCGCGTTCTCCCCACGCGCATTCGCCCTCCCACGCTGGGACAGGACCACCCCCGCGCCCCGAATCCTCGCGCTCGGTGCGCACCAACCTGCTCCCCGCCGCGCCGCGCTCCAGCCCGGAGCTCCGCGGTGCGGGGCGCGGACCGGGCGCGGGGGCGCGCGCGTCACATCGCACGCCCGGCCACGCGTCTCGTACTCCCGCGATGTCCGGCTCTGTGGGGTGGGATGGGGACCCGGGCCGGGGTCCAGTCCTCGGGCTTCGGCCGCCGCCGGCTCCCGGCGAATGCGGGCGTCCCAGGCCTGCCGGTGCCCCCGGTGGCGGCCTCGGCCCTCGGGTCCGCGCCCGCGCCGCGCGCCTCGTGGTCCGGCGGCCGCGGGGTCCGAGGGGCCGCGGTGCAGGGCGCGGGGCGGGCAACGCCCCCAGCCTCCAGTGGATCCCGCGCCCGGCTCCGCCCCGGCCCGCCCCGGCCTCCCCGCCCCGCACCCAGCTCACCAGGCGCGCACCCGCGCCGGAGTCGTCCTCGTCCCCGCGTCCCCGCGTCCCCGATTCGGCACTGCCGGCGGCTCCAGCTTTGCCCGGGCCGGGCTGGGAGAGGCGGCGCGCTGTCCACAGAGGCAGGCTGCTCTTCCCCGCCTGCTATCCTCCCGGCGCTCGGGGCTACCCGCGAGGCTTGGGGCGCTGGGCTGCTGGAGCGGGACACCCCGCAGGGACGCGCCCCGCCGGGCCCTTCCCGCCCGCGACCTGCGCGCCCGGGGCGCGGCGCCGCACCCGCGGGTCCTCTTTGTTCCCCGCGCTCCCGGCTCCGCGCGGCCCTGCGCCCGCCCCGGCTGCTGCGTAGGACGCGGGCCCGCCCAGCCCAGCTTGGGCTCTGGACTTCGGGTCCCGCCGCGCGCGGTCCTCACCCTGGCCCCATCCAGGGGATGCGAGCCCGGGCCGAGGCGCGGGGACCACCAGAGCGGCGGGCGGGGCTCGGAAGGCCTGGGTATCGCTTGCAGTCTCCCGTTTGTCCCCGTGGCCTTCGCCTTTGTGTCCGCGCAGCTGTCCTGGGACGAGTCCGCTGCGCTTTGTCCGCGCAGCTGGGCGGGCTGGATTGGAGCCTGTGGCCGCCGTGGCCGCCGTGGCCCCCAGAGCCCAGCGGGGCTGGGGCGAGGGTCCAGGAGCAGGAGGGGTTGGGGGACATAGCGAGAACCCACCCTTGTCCTGGTGAGGGATGCTCCAGTGCGTGGAATATTTTAGGAACCTTAAGTGTATTCATAGAACTCCCAGAGGCTCTGCAAGGAAGGCTGGGTTTTTGACTGAGTTACCAGGCATGCTGAGTTCAGCCCTGCGTTCAGAGCCTGGAGCTGCGCTCTGGGGAGGTGAGCAGGGCTCCCCCAGAAAGGAAAGGGATCAGAGATGGGGGTGGGGGGTGGGAGGGGTGGAGAAGAAAACAGAACTCAGCTGTGTGATATGCAAACACCAGTTGCCCACGAGGAAAAGAACCACTCACTGTGCGCTGCTAACATCCACTCATAAAACAATGAAAATGGAACAACAACAAAAAAGGAAGTTACAGGGGCTTGGCTGAAACCTCCAAGAGTTAAACTACCCCCCCCCCCCCCCCCAGTGCTTGAGCAGGGCAGGGCGGAGGCAGCCGGCACGGCGCTCTGGCTTGCATTATCTGTGCTGGACACTTGGGGATTCTGCGGCGCTGCTGTTGTCCGCCTGGTCAGAACAGCCAGTGGGCCCTACCCAGTGTGCTAAACAGTGCCCCTCGAAAGTGCCCTGCCAGTGATGTACGGCGGGCAGGGCAGCAGGTCCCCCGCGTGGCCTCTAACCCTCTTGACTGCGGGGTTCTTGCCCCTATAGTGGGTGTGTTAGCACTGTACCTTCCATCGGTGTTGGATGTATGGAGTGAACACTAGGAGTGTTTTTCCTAGTGCCTCACATATGACAGCTAAGGAGTTGTAATTAATGTATGATAGGAACCATCATGGAAACGCGTTTCCATGCAATAGAAAAAATATTTTGCACACTTCTTAGGGGTGTAACATTTCCTGTTCTTTGCATATGTCCTGCAAACCTGTCGTCTTACACTATAAAGAGATTTTAATGAGTTAAAGAAGGGCAGGAAAGCAACAACTAACTTTGTGCTTATAGAAAAGCTGTCACCTAAAGACAAATAAGCACATTGCCGTTTTAAATTTTTAGCTGGATGAGATTATTTATGATTTAGGTACAAAGTGAAGGGACTGTGGATTAATCTGTCGCCTTCCGGGGAAATTGCGATGCTGGTTTGTGTACACGAAGGCTCACGCTGGTGGCTGCCCCTTCAGAGCAAAATGGTAAATGTCTTGACAGCCTTCAGTTGGGTTGCTCAGAGGGACAGAAGCCAAAGCAGATTACTTTCATTGTTTACAGTCTGAAGAGGAATTCTTGAAGTCTAGCAATAAGAAAATAAGAAAAACAGAAAACAAGGGACGTTCCAAAAGCAACTGCTGGTTTCTGTTGGCTTCTAATAAACTACATTTCCTTTTCCTGTTTTACACTCAGGTCCCTCCATCAACTGTGGGTCTCCACTGCTCTCAGGTAAATACCTCCTGTCCTGTAGAGGCCACCTGAGGCCCCTGACCCCAAGTGGCCAGTCCAGGAAGGTCAGTTCCCAAGCCAAGTCATGCAGGGAGAAAGGCATCAGAGGGTCAGGAACCCAGAGGTTTTCTCATGGCACCACTGCTGATTCAGGGGCCATTCTCACTTCCTAGTATTCACAGACACCTACTTCTCTCCTTCTCCTTATGCTTTGCAGGGGAGTAGGTTGTTTTACAGGTGGGAAACTGGCTGACAGATACTTGTAGGACCCTTGTGTATAAACCAATCATCTCGGGCCCTGATGAATGTGAGATTTTCATGCCCTGGCATTAGGAAAACACAACTTCTTCCTTGCTTGGGAAATTAGTACCTCAGGGAGGAAATCGCCTGTGTCTGGATGCTTCATACTTAATCAGTGAAACAGATCTTCTGTGCAAGTTGCTATAAAAATGAATTTCAGACCCTGGCTTCTTGGGAATCCATTATTTAATCCAAAAATTGGGCAAGGCATTTGTTTACTAGCCAACTCATACATTTTTTTAATTAATTCTCTTAATCTTTGGCAATGTTACTAAAGAGATAGGACAGCAGGAAGGAGACAGCTGGGGGAGGTCCTCCCCACCTTTCCTCTGGTGTTGTCACATGGGGTGTGGGTGTTACCTGTGATGTGGCACTGGGCTGGAGGAAAAGCTGCCTTGAGCTTTAGCAAGATGCTGGGTGTGTCTGTGGACTGCACACCACAGGGAGACCACCCTGGATGGGGGGGGGCACCCATCCCTAGGCTGGGGCATGGGCAGACTAAAGAGGGAGAAGAAAAGGAAGTCTCCCGTTCTCACCACTGCCTTTGGACATTTGTTTCCGGTTTCCTTGGCCCCCAGTGTAGACACTTCAGCTGCTAACGCAGACTCCCCGGGGACCACAGTGAGCTCCAACCTGTGGCTTTTGATGGCCGTTGGGTCACCCAGCCTCCAGCACACAGGCTGCCATTTTGGATTCTACCCAACACATCCCTCATATAATTATGCATGTATTTCCTACTGATTAGTTCGTTTAGTGAAGCCCAACTAACATGGACAGAAAACTGTAACTCTCAGCATTGAAGGTAACTAAGATGCGTCTGCAGCCTTCACCATGGTGCAGACGGGGGGCTGCACTTGGTGCCAGGGTCCACATCTGGCACCCCCTGGCCTTGCCCTGGGCTCAGAAGCCTCTGCAGGTCAAGTCCTTTGGCCTGAACCTGGCCTCAGTCTGCAAGGAACAGGGTCCGAGAGAGGACTGGAAACCGTGTGGGGTGGCAGGTCACTGTTCCTCCCCCTGTTGTCCCGTCCCCCACAACCTGGGGTTAGGAGAATCGGACTCCAGGCAGGAGACCTGGCTTCTAGTGCCAACCTTTGTGACAAGTTTTCAAGACCCTCTTCACTTCTAGCTTTGAGTGGAAATAATCTAAGACCCTGTGTTAGTTACTTTTTACTCGTTGCTGAGATAAAATACCTGATGCCCAAAGTTGGAAAGGAAAGGTTTATTTCTTACAGTTTTTGGAGGTTTCAGTCCATGCTCAGTTGGCTCCAAGGCAGGCTGGCATGGCTGAGCCGCAGTTCATGGCAGCTGCAAACAGCAAGGCCGAAACCAGCAAAACAGCAAGACACACCTTCTTCCTGCCATTACATTACATCCTGGCTCCACCCCTTTGTGGAGCACTGGCACCATCAATTCAAGCACTAGACAATGAACCATCACAAACTCATGAGTCCTGGGGGCCACAGACATAAACCATGACAGACCCATAGGAAAGCTGCATAAACAATGCCATCCACACAGGCTGCCTGAATGTTGAGCCTTCCCTGCATTTGTCTTAGCATTCCTAGAGCTTCTTTATTTTCATGACTTTCCTTGGATGTTTGGAAATTAAGGTGTATGCCTCATAACCCTTTAGCCCTAAAAATCCTCCATTTAATTCTCCCTAAGGATGGGAAACCACCCCCCCCCAAAATATTTTGTTGCCACATAATAGTTGTGCATAAATAGGGGAGAGTGACAATTCAGTACATGTAGATGGTATGCAGTGGCCAGATAAGGGAAATTAGCACTGTCATTTCCCATTCTCTTTTACAACCAGAGAATTATCATGATTGTGAGAACAGCAGTGATCAGAGCTGCAACCTGACCTCAGCACCACGTGGTCAGAGCCTTGTGCAGCCCGCTCATCTCCTCAGGGCACTGTGTTTATGACCTTGACATATTTGTGGAATTGGAGCTATGTCTTTTGTTAATGTCCCTCTGTTCGGGCTTGTCTCCTGTTTTTCCACATCAGATTAGTTTCCCGGGAAAGCTTTCAGCCTTACCTTACCTCAAGCCCAGTCATTTTTCTGCTCCAGCAGTGGGAGGGGAGGCTTGGGTGACTCAGTGAGGGGGACCTCAGAAGCATGCGCCCAGGACACTGCCACGTGTCCCTTATTGGCTGCCAGGTGCCATGAGGGCA